ATGATGACGGCGCTGTTGTCTATGGGTGTGGTACAAAAATGTTTACGTAAGCACTGCTTTCCTGATCCGCTTTTGTTGAACGAAGTGTGCTTGCATCGAAGTCTCAAGTCCAGCGACGTTAACCAAGTACGTGGTTTGACACTCCTGTTTTCGGAGTTTCTCGCGCACAGGGACTGCGAATAGTCAGTGAACATGCTGCGCGACGCACAGCTACAATAGCATATCGACCATGAACCGTAGATACCGAACAAGACGATAACGGAAGGATAATACTGAAATTACTCGTCAAGCGGCACGATATCAACACATAATAGGCCAGTGGAGGGTGAGTCCACGTGGCATCACTACGATACCGTGAAAAAGCACAGAGATAGTGGAGGGAACGTACACTCCGGGTAGATGGATGGACATTTGACACATGAAACCTAGATGCCTACTAGCCACATTGAATTGGGATCTAAGGTATGTGGAAGTTGGGCCGCAGCTAGACCTGATGCAACGAACACCATACGTCTCACCTCCCTCATTTACGATTGGCAGTCTACTGAAGCCAGTAAAAGAAATGGTGTGATTAGATGAGTAGAACCATTACTGTAAATAGCCATTTTTCACACAACAAACAGGAAACAGCGTTGAGAATGCATGGCCCAAAATTAGAGACGAAAATCAGTGCACCTCACCTTAGACCGAAAACAGTGATATTTGATGAAGACGATGGAACAACACACCTGCTATCTGTGACCCAAAATTCTTACCTCAAAGGGAGTGAAAATCAGCCAATAGGAGGCAAGTAGACCGAATGTAACGTTTACGAGGAATTGTGAGCATGTGAATGTGTTTGACCCCAACACGATTCCGGGCCATCGACACACGGGACGTTGATTCGTTACGGATAAGAAATAAAACAACACATCGCAATACAAGCAAAAAACGAACGGTAGAAAAAAAGTGCCACTCCGAGTAGAAACATAGTGATTAAAACAACCTTAAGATAAATCGCGAAATAGTTCAAAACTACAAGTCACAATCTTGAAACACAGAGAATATTTTGGTCTAAAATCGACCTGGACCGCGGACCCAAATGCAGTTCGCGCGACCAAGTAGCTCGGTATTAATCGGCGATAACGACGTCCCAATTCTGAGTTCCAAATCTGGACACCCCTAATATCCATCTTCTTCAGATCCGGCGCTATTAACCAAGATGGCCGAGGTTCACTTCAAAGTGAATCGCAGTCTTAATTGAGAATGCATGTCTCGATTTTTTGACACAGCTTTTACTGTAAACAAAAAGACACCCAGTCCTTTATCGATGTTGTTGGTGAGCCGCGTGGAGCCCGGTGACACCGTGCTACGTGCTCCTACCGGTGATCCATCTCCACCCAGAGTCCAACCGGTCACCGATGTAGTGCGGACTTGCGAAATAATCTCCAAGTGGTGCCAAATGGTTGGTTCGGGCTTATCCCGTTCCAGTAAATGGTTCGGCGGCAGTGTTTCAGGACGTGGTGGGTTTTCGCCTGACAAGCGTTTCCCCTTTAAATGTTCGTTAATACAGTGACGTGGCGGATGTGACTCGCCACTAAATAAAACCAATGCCCCTTGCTTCACCCCGGTGGAGTATCGCATTCCAGAAGCCTGCTTCTGGCTTCATAGGGTGGATTGGTCCCCTGTTTGCAACTGACCAAACGAAGGGCGGATGGACCGGGTAATCACGCACCGACTACCAGCTGGATGCCATTCCCTAGGTGGGCTATTCAGCCAAAGGCTCTGAGTGGTGTCCCTTAAGTCAACATACTACATCGGCTTAGGCAACCGGCAGTATGGTGTCCTCTGACGAAACTGTGGAGTTCTGTGTGTAGTGTTCGATTACCCTTTTAGGACAACTGGTTTTCGATAACTCTATGTGTATGTGTAATGCTGAGGGTGACCAATGCCTAACAACTTCTTCAGGTACAGCAGCAGTGTCCGAACTGACCGATGTTTATATCAAAGTAAACCGTTTCCCAAACTGAGCCCACTTGTTATAATTAGCAGATATAGCGAATGGCCTCAGGAAACACGAGTAATGCTTTTGATGTTCGTGCACGCGCTCCTATCGCTGACCGCACGGATTCACGCGTATGTCGATCTTTGAGAACCAGCTTCTGGCACACCATATACTACGGGAAGCAGGAATTACGAACAGCACATTACAGTTCATCGCAAAGAAGTGAAGCTTCAAACGCAGAAATACAATAGCTTGTGGATAAGTAGACGACATTTAGGTGGTGGGGAGATGGTGCAAGTTACATAGGTTAGGGCGGGTTAGATGACGTTTATCCTATATACAAACGGATAGTTGTGTACAGTGTAGACACCAGTTGATCCCACTAGCACAATGCAATGCGGTGTAATCATTCAAGCTGTTCGGTTCGGAGGAAAAATCTAACACAATGAGAAGAATTAGACCCAGTTAATGTTCAATATGGGAGCCTAAATGCAGTGATCATGCGAGTGAGACTGTACAAGTCTACGTAGTTAGCACTATGGTACATTCATGCCAAAGCTGTGTTAACTGAGCTAGTGACTGTCTGAGTCCGTAGCTCATGCTGGAGTATCGTCTCTGGAGCAGCTGACAGCCAAATTAAATTGGAAACCTCATCTAAGCCACAGTAACTAATCTTTCGCAGAAGAAAAAGAGAGTACGACTGCGAATGCACTCGATGAATGAGCTTACCAGGGTAAACAGAAACGTCAACAGGCTCATCAAAAATAGATACAGGCATATCTTTTTGCCATAGTGCCCTCTGCGGGCAACACATCACTTCTGATGTCCCTGTTGCAGAAAATGAATCCTGTGGCATGCTGAAGGTATGGAGCTACTCTCAGGAGAAGGACTTCTTGACTTGGAGTATGCAGACGATATTGCCCTCATCTGTGACAGCTCCCAGACGTGCCAAGCGGCACTGGACAGGTTAGCACTGGCTGTCAGCCGTTTCGGGCTTTGTTTTGCACCATCGAAGTGCAAAGCTTTCCTCAAAGATTGGCAGAGATCGCCTCCTGCGCTGACCCTTGGTGGGGATCAGCTAGAATTCGTTCAGAAATTCAACGCCCTTGAGATCGAAGATGAGATCACGAACCATATAGCAAAAGCTCGAGGTGGTTTTGCTAGCCTTCGCCACCTATGGCGTCAGCGTGACCTCACTCTAGCCCTGAAGGGTAGAGCGTACAATGCAGTAGTACGTTTGACCTTACTGTACGGTTGCGAAACCTGGCACCCTAGATCAGCGGACATAAAGAGGCTAGTTACGTTGGACCATCGGTGCCTTCGCAGTTTGGCTCACATCCGGTGTGAACACCGCGTGAGCAACGAGCATGTTCGAGGCCTTGTTTACGGTACAGGAGAAGGAAAAGAACCGCTCAGCACCGTCATTTCACGCATCAGGTTCCGATGGCTCGGCCACGTGTTACGCACGCCAGCCAACTGGCTCCCGCGACGTGCATTGTTTGCTTGCCGGGGGTGTGAGTGGAAGAAGAGGAAAGGTGGCCAAGCGATGACTTGTTCGAGAGGAATCAAGGTCCTCACTTCGGAGATGGCTTCGGTTGGAGCATCTCGGCTCTCTGGTTGGGATCCGAAAGACGGTGGACACGTTTGGTTAGATACACTTGCTGGAATGGCTAGGAGCCGACCTCAGTGGCGTTCCTGCTGTGAGTAACGTTGTCCCTCCCCATGCTTTTTAGCCACACCCTCCAACCACGATCTCAGTCGGTAGCATAATATAATTGTACATAACAATTTTTGTTGCCTAGTAGCCGGCTGGTGGCTTTCCGGTACAATACCCATCCGTTGCTGACAGCTCAGCTGGCATGCAACTGTTGCATTTATTTTCTTTTATGTGTTGCGGCACAGTAACTGAGGTGTTTTACACCTCTAGCCAATGGGTATAATGGTGATGTGGCATGCTGAACAAAAGCTAATCATATGATACCAAATAGGGAGAATCAGGGATTGATCAATCAGTTCAAAGCCACAATCGCACATAGAAGCCAGTGAAATAACACACACCCGTGTGTAAGCGCATCAACCTGGTGGAACGGAATTGCCTTCACTAGATTTACACGAGATTTTGACTTTAGTATCTGTCTCAGGTAACTGGTATAAGTATTCTCCACTGATAAAAGGGTCTTTGGAAGTCAGCCGAAAAACATTTTATTTTGTATCTCATTAGATGGAGACCATCGGCTTTTTTGACAATAACACCACGTTGACCTTTCTGACGATGTAAGAGGGTAACTACATAGTAAAGACTATTGTTTGGACCGTCAAAAAATGAGGAGCCCAACATCTATCTTAGGTGAAGAAACATTCAAGAAATTCGGCAGCATTTGCGTTATAGTGCCAAGCTCACCATCGATGACCAACGTAGTGCGCTTTCGAAATCGTCGCATCCACAGTACGCGAAATTTCTACATATCAAATTCACTATGCAGAATACTCTCGACTCGCTTGTGGACGATGCGTATTACATAATTTATATGATACACATTTAAACGCCCATCATCCATTACCGTGTGGTGCATGCGATCGACGCTTTTTTGGGTGGAGGTTGTTACAGGACGTTCGGACCTTAGGTCACTTTCAAAACTCTCCCTAAAAATCAACAATATCGTAACACACCCAAGTTTCCGTAGACATTTGACAACAACTTGGCGCTCAATCATATCCATGTTCACTAAATGCCTGTATTATCCATGTCCTAGGTCTCCAATCCCTTAAACCCAGGGTGGGTTTGTGTAGTTCAATAGTGTATGGTGGGATAAAAAGCAATAACTTTACAAGACCCACAGGATGGCAAATGGAAGAAAACAAAAGTTTCAGGTGTGACACAAAAATATCAGTAACAACATGCATTCAGAATCAGGACAGGTTGCATTTAATGTCGACTAAATGTTATTGCGTCCTAGACTGAATCCCTTTTAGTTGACTTAGATTTTTTAACCCCGTTCCACCATTTCCTCCACAGGGAATAGCATCACGCAACAAGGACTGATCGCCCTCCTCAACGCGGTAACATTTCAAAACCAACGCCTCAAGGACACGTCCAAGATGAACGGAACAGGATTGATGAAAGTGTTCATTCGCGTAGGTTTCAACAAGAGCAAATCGGAACAATGCCGCTGATTTTATAAATGGTCTAGTGCAGCCCTTAGAAGTTGACGCCTAAATAAGGGAGGGGGGTAGCAATCACACCTCATCAAGCAAACATAAATGCAAGTTATGACGGGCACAGATGTTCGTATTCAAACACAACAGAAACTAACTTGATTGCTTACAGTTTGGAGTGGGGCACGGTTCAGAGGCTTGACAAGAATCTCGCAGTTCTGGTTCTTCCCAAGCATGACAAGAAAAACAAAAACGTCCATTAGCTTGTGAAGGTACTTCGATCCGCAGTTTACAAGCCTTTAGCGCGAAACCGATAATCTTATGGCCGAAAATAGGGCCACAGCAGCTGATGGAACACGTGATAGCACGTGAGATGCGGCAGTGATATTATAGCGCGCCAATCGTGCGCTATACATCTGTTAAGAGACTAAAGAACCAACCATGAGAGTACGGGAAAACACGCGAAAATAAGCTATGGAAAAGGTTTATTGAACGGAAGAAAAGATAGCTAAGGCTGAAAATAGGGCACCAGATGAGAGCTAGCTAAGAAGGATGTAGTTGGGCCTCGAGTGCGTGGACGGAGCGTCGTTCGCAGTGAATGTGCGCGCCAACCGCGGATATTCTATTCGTGTTTAAAACAAACGGGAACAACGTTCCAACACGCAAACCACCTAATTCCCTAATACAGAAGAGCAGTAATTTTAGTATATTGTAGATTAAGTTACAGTTACACGGGGGAATCTCCAGGTCACTACAACATGATTGGTTCCCGGACGGATGCACGCTGTTTTAGGATATTGCCGAAGTTTCGAATTTGACTGGGTGGGTGGTCTAACAGAGCTTAGTATTCCCATTCTGCCGATGTGTCCATGCGAGAGGAATGTTTTTGCCGCATTGAAGGTGGCATAAACCACAAGAACTGGGCCTCACCTTAACGACAAAACCCCCCAGAGTCATGTGTATTCTATCGTGCAAAGCGCCTTTTGCGTAAATAGAAATGATGGTAGTGGTAACATTTCAAAGTTTTTGATCTTACAATCGGACCGTTTCTGTAACCCAATGTAAGCTGAAGCATACAGAGAGAAACACCACAACAGAAAATAGAAAACCAGACAACTCCACAGTTACCTTTGAATGGTAAACGCACATAAAAATTTGTATTGGGTACGCTCATTATTGTTGGTCTTCTATTACGTTCATTCAGATGTGAAGATGAATTTATTCGGATACCCATTTGCACTTAGGGCGTCGCTGATCCTCTGCAGTTCATCGGTAACGGTGACCGGTGTGCAAATACTGCGCACCCGAAAAGCACGAGTGCGCGAATAGTGTACAGTATAGGAGCCGCACTGTAAAATTTAATGTACCGCACAATTCAAGTGTGTTTACTATACACATTTTTGCTAAAGGATCCATCGGTGTTTTTGATAATATCTACGTTCGGCTTGTATAAGCTGAACGTATAAGCTTGTCGTACCGGATTTGAAGCGAGTCGCTCCCCAACTCTGTTTCAAACGCAGAGTGCTGAATGTATGGAACGACCTGCTGCAGCAGGTAGTAGAGGTAAACTCAGTGTCGGAATCTAAGAAGTTCCTTGACAAACACTGCCGACACAAAATATATAGAGCGGAACACAACATAACGGGTACATGTTCATGAGAGACGATTGATGCAGCTACAAAGAGCAAGCTCTACTAGCTGCTTCGAACCAGTAATCAGTAGTCAATCTCCGGACTCGTCCTCATAGGTGACATGTAGATTTTGATGCGTGTTGTTAAAAACGTTCTTTCGATTTTCAGAGTGCAACGAAGTCATCCACATAACGTATGAACATTTAAAGTCCGTTGATGAACGATCTTATTGAGCTGCGCTCCAATTTCGCCATAAAGACATCTGCGAGCAGCGGTCCTAACTGTGACTCCATGGCAACATCAATGTGACGATTTATCACCCACTGATAGGAAAAGAGCTAGCGTGGGTGCTGTGATGCTCACATCAAGTACAACCTTGTAACCAAGACCCGGTCCTGCTAATAGTAGATAATTTGTATTTATGCACAAATTCATTTCAGGGAAATCTGTTTGATGAGCAATGTGAACCCATGCAACAGTTGGCTGAGATTATGTCAGCTCGAGACCCACTGCAAACAAGTGGAGAACAGAACGAGGTTGATGGATCGCAGGTTGACGGCGCACCAGAAAGCTGAGGCTATATTCAAGGGAAGATGCAACATTACTCAGAAATCCATCGCAAACCACAAAGGCGCTAGGAAGTGATGACTGCAGCCGACAAGCCACTGAGTGCCCCATACCCCATTTGTATGAATTTTGTACTGGTTGAAAAAGTTGAATAAAAAAACAAGCTTCTAGTTGTTGGAAGCGTTTACAGACGTGCTTAGAGGTGAAGTGCCCAACAAACAGCACACGCAGCTGAGGTGAAAAAGGAAACACTGCCGGTGAAATCGGTGTTGTGATATTACGGCCACCACTCATTTACGTCTAAACATCTTTCGATTGCGATATCGTTTATTAACGTCTATAGGCTAATCTCAACGAGATCGGATCAGTAAAACAAACCTGCCTCTTACTTTAACTCAGGTGTAAGCGAAAATTCGTTTGGAAGTCTTCAGTTAACGCGTCTCCATCGGTCACAACAAAACAAGACCGGAACTGGAATACGGTACTATTGGCAATCAATTAAAAACAACAAATACACAATACCTCAATAATCTGTGCTTCCGGCACATATACTGTAAGCGACAATTCGCTTCGAAGGGCCTTGCGCCAACTTTTATTCAGCTAATCAAAGAACAAGAACACCGGGCAAGATAACGGTATTGTTAATGAACAATCAGGAAGCAATAATAATACAAACCTCAATAGTAGCGCTTCCACTCAACGCAGTTTCAAAGAAATACAATTCGGTCCGAGAACAACAAGAAAGGGTTCAGATCGTCAATGCGATACAGAATACAGAACACTGGTTATATAGGACAAGTGAAGTCCATGCGATTGGTCAAACACAGACCGGATGAAGGCCGGATGCGTGAAATGTGAGTGTGTGGGATGATAAGTACATTGCTCATGATCAGTGCGAGAATAATTGGGGTGATTGTTGCCGTGGTAAGGGCAAAGATAATTGAGGTGATAGTTGCGGTGGTAGTGACAAAGATAATTGAGGTGACGAAGATAGTTGGGGGTGGTAGTTGCGGTGGCAATGGCGAAGATAATTGGGGAGGGGGGCGATAGTTGCGCTCGGATTAGTCCACACTCGATGGTTGGCGTATGGCGGAGTTGAACACAGGGCATTGAGAATCCTACATATACAACGGTAACAGTCAAAATTAGCCAACAAGTATGGCTTCAAGACGCACGTAGGAATGAACTCGTCTCAGTGCATTGTGGCTTAAAACGGGCTTACACAGGACCAATCAGAAAGAAGGGAGGCTACCATGAGCCGTGGGTGTGAGAATCCGCACATTACACACAGTGATGGCATTGGGTGCAAATGTACACAAGGGGGGAAAACAGTAGGTCTATCAAACCCAAATGGTTTCAATGTGTGACCTTCATTCACAACAACTGCAATATTGTCAGGTCACATGCGGTGAACAGTGGTGAGCACAGTGGATGGATTGAAACATTCTAAAGTGCACCGCAAACACATCGGGCGTTGCTATGTGAAACCTTAATGGTTTGTTCCGAAGTAAGAAAAGTAGATGAAACATGCCTGAAGGTAGGTCATCCACATTCTCAAAGTGCAAAATAAACGTAATAAATCCAATATCGGTAATCTAATGCATAAAGAGGTGACTTACTAGTAATTAATTTCATGATGAAATACCGTAGGGACTTAGCACTGTCAGGAAGATGGCGCGCATCATCTCACATAGCAAAAGTAGCACGTTGTTGAAACTAAGAATCTGGGTGGCCACATCAAGCTGTCAGACAGTTTAAAAAATCTACCGGGCATCATAGTACGTGAGCGTAGATGATACGCATTTAGTCAAAGCGTGGGGACTGCAACATTAGTCTACTTGCACTTTGCCGACAAAAAAACCAATGAAATTCCACAGTGATAAATGATGAACAGAGCAAAATAAACATTTTAACGGTCAAATGAACTAAGCTAACTGGGGGAAACTCTGCAGTAGTAAATCGATTAACCTATGCGTACACCAGCAAAGATTAAATCACACATGCACAGCGGTTCATCAGTGAAAGTTAACAAAAAGAGTGCTTTAGTGGGCGAGCTTTATTAGCCACCGAATGTGCTGAGGAATCAATTGTGAATCGAATCCTGAGGTGAAGTGTGTTGATTTGGGTGCTAATCTTTCACCATCTCAATCGACGAACTAGCATCTTCAGTCCGTAGTAGCAAACAGCTTGTTAGCAGTAACTGAGGTTCAGGTAAATCCGAAGGAGTAAACCATCCGGATTGGTGGTGCAACTTTTGCAATCAAATCGCTCAGTTAGCTGCGCAAATGAAGACCTCAATTGCCAACCCGAGCAAGCGATATTCAGTAATATTGTGATCCCTGAGAACTCATGACGGCAAATGGCATAAGTAGCAAAACCACGAACACAGAAGTTTGAAAACAACGGGGGGAAAATATGGCGAAATATTAAAATAGCGCCAAAATCGTATGAGGCTTGTAACCACTGATGTAGTCGGTACCGGGATGCTTCGAGACACGAATTCGATGAAGCTGTGAGGAAACCAGTGAGTCAACGATAACTGACAGCAAAACAGTTACATTGCGCGAAGCAACAGTAACCAAGCGACATCGCTGTTAGAATGGTTCTTCGGCAGTTTTTGCCAAAAACCATTTGACTGTTCTCAATGCAGTCTATAATGAACTAGAACCACGAAAACAACATAGTTTCTTCCCGAGTTGCATCGCATTCCACGTGTGAAACAAAAAACGCTCGCGCGGTTTTATGGATGAGTGGATATGTCAATGTACCATCTAACTAAAAGTTTAAGACAAGAAACATGGAATGCGACTCGCACTTGACAGCTGATCGAGTAGGGGAAATACATGGCCGGAAGTGTCATCCAAGAACATAAGCATGGTTTGGTTTCATTCCTTCACTTAACAACACCGCACAATGATGTCAAAGCGGTGATGAGATTGAGCAAGAGAGAAACATTGTCGTACAGGAAAGTTGATGAACGAGCACCAGAGCTCCATTGAGTAGGCATCACGGAATAGTTACTGCTGCTTGCGCCTATCTGCAGAACATGTCTCATCTCACTACACCCCAAGACACGACATGAATTGCTATGGTCTGCAATGGCAAGAAGGAAATGGGGAAGGAATCCGGTAGAAGGAACCAAGATGAGCGCCGTCTCAAAATGCGGAGTCGGAGCAATTCAAATGAACAACTGATACCCAAGAATCAAAACGTGTTGGACCCGTTTGCGTGGAATCTACTCATTAAAACAACAAATAGGGACAACTTCAGGAAAAAACGATACCGGTCTGAAAAAGCAAAATTAAGCAGCAGATAAGTGGGCGCCTGAGAAGACTAAGAAGGGGAAGTAGTAGATCGGGTGGATTTGTCTGCAGAAGCCCATCGATCAAGATGTAACTGTCAGACTGCATATACTCCCTGCAAAATCCGATTTCAACAAGCACAGATTACACATTGGTCGTTTGTAAATTCGTAAGGCTAAATTAGTTGGTCTTTCGTCGCGACGGACTGGACCTTTAGGTGGTACGAGGGTTTGCGTACTCTTCTGACTTACTGAGCTCTAATTATCACTAAACGGAAAACCTGTACTGCGTTTGGTCATAATTTACAGGCTGAACACAGTCTCGTTCTTGTAGATTTTCAGTTCGAAGTGGAGTGAAATGGTACATTTGCAAGAAAGTGGCTCATACCGTAAACCAATAGCGTATTTCCACTGCGTTGCGATCAGCCTTGACAACCAAAGACCCCCGGATTTCCACACAATCCCATCCCACACATACCCGTGAATTCTAAAACTTCAGGCTCATTATTACGTGTACGGGCTGTCACGGAATTCTGAAGGGGCCGCCTCCTCAGCTGTATCCAACGAAGTGGGAGAGCAGGTTACAGCTAATTTCGATTTCTTTCACCATACATGCCTGTAGCAGAATGATCTATTTTTCATATGTTTCTCTTGTGGTCCTCCGGACGACCATAATCAATCCTAAAGTCATGGCTTCAAATTTGATGACGTTTTCTATGGTTTCGCAGAAGTTTGTCATTTGCAACCAGTTTACCAGACGGTCAGACATTATTTGAGCGAATTTTCCAGACATCAGATGAGATGTTTATTGTGCATGATGCCAACCTATCCACGTGGAAAGGCTGATTATAACCTGACGCAGTTGTCTCACTGATGACACCTTATCTTCACAATATAGACTGGTGATTGCAATCATACGTTATCTGCAAGGTGTGAGCACCTTCATACTGGACTTTTGCTTGGGGCATTTAGGTTTCACACCAAGTTCTGAGTATCCCATCCTATTAAGCCTCGGTTGGATCACTGTGGATGTACGCGAGTAACCAGTCAGTACAAAGTACTGCAGTTGACCAGCCGGCCGAAAAGCACAATGGATTCAGGTCAAAACCGGTTAACAATTCCCCGTCAAACCCACGTTATTAAGCTACATGAACTGATTTGCATAAAACCAGGCTAATCGATATCTAATAATTAAGTCAAATATACGAATGGGCGAATTTGTGGGGAGAGTTGAGAAGCAAGCACCTAGAGAGTCGGTCCCACATGATGGAATTGGTACGGTGAGTTTGGTGGTCAACAGCAGAGAGTGTACAAAAACAGTTCAATTGATAATAGCTAAAATGCAGTGTAATCCGCTACTTTGACTTAATTCGCCACTGTATTAAGTACCACGGTGAGATCTACCAAGTTCCAGAGAAGTGAGACTCGATTTAATTTCTCTTCAGGTCATAAATCTTGGATCGTTGCTAGTGGAGCATGGTATCAGCATTCCCAGCGATAAAATGTGCAGAATGGTATTGCACCGCAGTGATTTTACGGAAATTCGTTTGAGAAACTAATAAAACACTACACATGCCAATTGCTTACTAAGGGCCTAATTTGTTTGCCGGATACAGGGTGGCTGGGTGGGGGTGGCAGTCGCTGTGCTGGACTCGAAAAATTAAACCACTGGATAAAAAAGCGCTGTTGGTCCGTCTCACTTTCCAAGCTAAAATAAACACGACCCATAGGATGTTTGGTTTAAGACACTACAGGACACGCCTCGTGACCGTCGTCAATCGAGTGCGCGTTGTCATCCCCAAGTTAGGTTGCGTGATTAGGAGGTGAACCGAATGGGAGCAAAGTTGATCATGATGCGAGGCAGTGAGAATCGTAAAGATGTATCACTGATACCTATCTGACTTCACACCGTAGTCAGCTAATTGCGACGACATGTTGTTGTTAAAGTGCAGACAGACTGAGCGGGAATTTTTAGTTATGGTATCGAGGCCCGTGCGCATCATTTCCACTTCGGTTGGGTTGTTTGGCAGTGATAAACCAGTGCTGAGGATTCCAGGATAGAAACAGTGGCGGCGCTTGCCAGAATACGAGTAGAACCGATAGCTAAGAGATTGTGGGTCATCACCATCAAATGTTAGCTAAGAGCAGTACCACCAGAATGCTGAAATCGAGGATAAGGTGAAAGCTTAAACAGACTTCATTTCAATGAAGGGACCAAAACTTGTCTGGAGGAACCTGAGAACCAGATATTTGGTGAGATTGGTAATTAAAGAGAACGCAACGCTCATGGAAACAGTCCATTCGGTTTCCTAAGACATACCCATCTTCGCTATGGAGGGGAACGTACAGATGTTCACGTATGTTGAGGTAAGGCCCTCTGACCCACAGCTAAAAATCAATTAACCAATCTGGAGATCTCCGGAAGGTACTCCTGACTGCCCACTGAGGTCCATTCAAAGTACGGGGTCCCGCGACACATTCGCGGTCAGGGACACAACTTGAGCAGCCAGCTGCGTATCATCAATTAGTCGATTGTCAAATATCTAAGATACGAAATATGATCACATTATGGTCAGTTTGCGCCAATCCCCCTTAGTATTCATAGCGAGAGAATAACGGGTAGACAGGAATGGTATAAACTGAAATTCTTCACACCTAGACTTAATCAGACACCCATTAAAAATCCAGAAGAGAATTGTACGGCCCTTTCATCCTTTCAGGAATCATCAGCAACGCGTATACCAGCTGACACCTGCGAGCTAGAACCGGCAAATCAACTGTCACGGATCGGTGGTTAAAGCCACTGAGCTACGGGCATGGTAACGACCGTCATGAATAAGTTACTAGATGTGATATAGCGTCGCTCATTTTCCACCGACGTGCACGTTACTGCCGTACAGAGGACACGGCAGGCCCCTCACCGAGCAACGAATTTACCAGGCTCAAGCTGCTACTTAATTTAGGGCGTTACAGGCAGTTTGTTTTGCGTACTGAGTGCAGGAGAGTAAGTAGGAGACTTAGAAAGTAAAGTTGGAATCCATCACACATAGGATCACTCAGTCACCAGAAATACGGAATAAGATTGGACGGCCGTTTCGTCCTTTCGGAAATCGTCAGTAGTGCGCATTCCATCGAACTCTGCAAACATACCCTTACGAATCTGTGGTCGTAAATACAGACAAGTGGAATACGCGCTGTTGACGATTCTCGAAAGAATGAAATGGCCACGCAACATTTCCGGATGTATGAGAGATCTGTCTGGGACTAGGTGTGATGAATTTCAACGCACACCACAAACCACCCTATTACCCCCTTGTAGTGAGTACGCAAAGTACACAATTTTTAACGCTTCAAGTTAATTGACGGCTTAAGTCTGGTAAGTCGTTGCTCGGTGAGAAGGACACCCCGTTCTCTGACCGACAATGAACAGACAGCTGCGCTATACCACATCCAACACTAGCCACATCGGTCGTTGCCGTCCCAAGTAGTCCAATTGTCCTGACCACGGACTAAGAACAGTCGGGTTACGGGTTTTAGCCCTACAGGGACTAGATGGAATGAACACTGCTGATCATTACCGAGAATGTGATGGCCGCTTGACTGGGTCCAGATAAGGAGAGTTTTAACGTAAACCTCTAGTATCTTTCAAGTTTGAAACGGTTACCGCAAAAGCGTGGCGAGATGTTTACACCTTACCAAACAACACGAGGAGCAGGTCGCATTCGCGGAAGGATAATGAATGGTGCCGAGACAATAACAGGTTGAAGGAAGCGAGATAAGAATCCATGCTGATCTTGAGAATATTAAAAATAGAGAGCGAGGAAATATAAATGCGTTGCTCCGTCGTAATTAGATCTGGCACCTGCACAGAACCACCTCGGTGATCCTGCGCGGTGGCAGCATACTACAGCTGCACTACATCTTATCCGGGTGCGATACAGTCCCTATACTTGTAGTCCATAAAGTGGACATCAAGGAAGCTCTTAAATCCCGACACCGCTTTCGCGTCGACTAGTGTTGCCGGCAGCTTATTCCAATATTTTAGCACTCGACGCTCGAAGCATTGAGGGTGAGCGATACGCTTCAAATCTGATACCACCAGTTTGTACCGGTGTCCGCGTGTACTGCTTAATGCGCAAACGTGTAACAGCGGCTTCAACTAAGGTAAGTGGCCCAGCATCCGATGCGTCATAATTTGATCAACTCGAAGCCTACGAGATGACAAGGTATACGGCCAAAGTCTCCTACATCGGTCCTCGTACGACATACTCCATAAACTGGGGATGAGTCGGTTAGCTACATGCCTGACACGTTCCAGTCTCTGCACCTCACCTATTGTGATCGGACAGTGGTCGGGTGAACCGTGCTCAACCACCAGTCTTACCATGGAAGAAAAAAGACGGATGGCAATCTCTTCAGACCAAGTGCAGAAACTGCGTTTAAGTGCCCAAAGCAGATGTAGTCTGTTCGTGTTGTCGACAGACTTCAGATCACGGCGTGAGAGTACGCTTAGGTCCTTTACGGAATTGGTGGGATACAGCGGGTGGCCGACCAGGGTGTACGCACGCCCGTTACCACCCCTCCCCAGGCTCATAAACGAAGATTTGACCGGGTTGTTTGATAGGTCAACTTCTGCAGACCACCGAGATCACCGGTGGTCAGTCACCCGGAGAATCAATAATTCTCTAAATATTCAAGGTCACAAGGCGACCAAAAAAGCTGAAGCGTCTCGCTGATGTGGATTAGAAATAAAATAGGCCACAGTACTGTGTCTTGGGCTACACCGCTAGTGGAGAGGTAGCATTCCGTTAGGTGGTCATTCATCTGTAGCCGCCATTTTCGCCCAATGAGGAAGTCACTGATCCAGTGATGTAGCGCGCCACCAACACCATAAATCCTCAGCTTGTGGAGGAGGACCTCATGGTTCACTTTATCGAATGCTTTAATGAGGCAATCAGCAGTTGAACAGAACGGCCACATATGTGTGGTACGGAGAGAAAACCGTATGGATGGAATGCGATGGCGTGGCCACGTGTTGCGCATGCCAGCACACCGACTCCCGTGACGTGCGTTGTTTGCGCGCCGGGGGTCCGGTTGGAAGAGCAGGGGAGCCAAGCGATGACTTGGCCGAAATGAAAACGCTCACTTCGAAAGTAGCGTCGGTCGGTGCATTCTGCCTGGCTGGCGTCCTAAAGACGATGAACACGTTTGGTTAGACACATTTGCTGATATGGCGAACAGCCGGCTGTGTTGTGGGTCTTTGTCCATCCTCCTCTACTTTAGATTAGTCTCCTCCAATCCCGATCTCATACAAAACACATAATATAATATTTAACATCATATTAGTTGTTTGGAATATCGTGGTGTGATTTTTTAGTCTCTTATTTTTTGATATTGCGGCACATTCACTGTGGTGTGTTTCTCACCTTCAGCTAATGTGTACTGATGATGAGGATGGTGATGGGTGAAATGTGTTAGGAAAGAAATGTAAGAATATCAGACACACCAGAATGGCTTGGTAATAGCAGGTAGTGAATTGGGGCCCTAGAGTGAAGTCGAGATTCAGAACCCAAGCCAACAGTCACGCGGTTTATCAACAAAAGCGATTAATCTGGATGCACGTCAAATGAAACAGAAGCGGGACACCGAGGTGCGCGCATCGTGGGGACATTCGACATATGCAAGAGTTGAAGTGATAGTGTCGATTAAGGTGGTGTACAAAACCGTTAGGAAGCAGGCAAGATGAAACATCAGCGTTAGTTTCACCACCAGATGCCGGTGTGTTTACACATCACTGTTAGACTGAGCGTAATCGCGACGAATCGAACTGAAATTGCTACAGAATCTGTCTACTGCTGCCTAAGATGACACACTGCTAACCAAAGGATGGATGAGAATGAAAACCGCGCGAAAGCAGGAGGCACATTGTCGAGGCGCGGGAGGGAGATCATCAGCGTGAAGAAGAGAAGAAACAAGGGTGAGCAAAGAATTTGTATTTGGCAAGACAATTAGATAAGTGATCCGTAGATAACTCGCATTGCATGGTAAAGAAATACAAGTGTGCTCAATATAGTTACAAAAGATCAGAATAAACTCGATTGTCGTCAGTGGTGGCCTCGGAATAAGCGCAGAGATCCCATGAGGTAAATTGGAATAGACTACGAATGAAACCCTCGTGGAAAACTGTTTGCACCGAGAAAAATAATCCGATAGATGCAGTTAGCCAAAATAGAAGCGCGTTCAGTGCTCAAAAGTACAGTCGAAGGCGCAAGAACTGGAAGGAGAGGAGAGCATAAATAAATGTCACACTGTGTCCGAACTGCACTGGAAGCGCCCCGAACCGCAACATGGAAACAACTAGGGTGGTTGGTTTAAACCAAGACACATACCATTTAAAAATGATTTCAGAAAGATGAACTCTAACGAAAAGACGAATCACGTGCGACTGGGACGTAAAACTAGTAGAGGAATGCAATCTGTAAGAAGACCACGCACACAGTGACTGTATCTGGTGAGATTGCGAAATTGCCTTGAGATAGAAGGATAATCCCTTTGGGCGGGTCAATTCGAAGCTGGAGATCGATTGGCTCGTGCGGTGACATTCGGGACAGACCAGTGATTGGGAGGATCAGAAGTAGGCCGAATGATCGTGAGCTTTCGGAGATCGTAAAGCGAAGCTTTGTTTGAAATCTGTCAACTCCTTGGTTAACTTCAGGCGTGTATAGAAGCCGGATAACGAGCCGATAAAGAGAGTCTACAAAGTATAGGACAAACAGGAGCAAACAGTATAACTCTGTTACCTGGGGGAATACAGATGTAGGCCAGTGATAATAAGACAAGTCGAAAAGGAGTCCCGTACACCGGGATGGATGGGCTGAAGTACTGGAATACAGCATCAATCATGAGTATAAGTACGGGGGCATCACATTAGTGACTTTAATTGGTTCGATAAGTAAGCGTAACAGGTACATGGAGGAACAATGGCAATGTCATCCGCTGTGGTAAAACAACAACTTAAGTTTGGGTGTATAACAGTATCAGACAGAAATGTTCATATATAGGAGGAAATTGACTCCATCGTCTAAATGTTTGCTACGAACAGAATCATCTGAACAACCCTAGATTAGCCGAGGCTAATTGGAAAGTGAACCAAGGAATGCCGAAGGTAGTTTAATTTTGGGGTTGAAAAAGATAGAGTTTTTACGCTACGGAACGTTCTGTTCCATCATTACGCTCTAAGACATCTGTAGTGCATTCAACTCGGTTGATCGACTCTCCTTCGATCGCTTATCGTTAGACGGTCGCGCCGATGTGCTGGGTGGACTTCTGTTTCTTACGACCTACGTACGCTCCGGAATCAGAAGCCCTTGGAACCCTCAACCGGACGCATACTACATAACTGACAACTCAGCCAGCTCAACTGTGTATAGCGCACGCCGGACGGCTTTTCTCGCTTTGATTGACAGGCCAGTTTGCATGGTTCAGTATTTTGTGTAGAGCAGACTTTTCGTGTTTGATTTTGTCAAGTTCAGTTTCTTTTGTGATTCTGAATTTGTTTGTGTGTTAGTGTCGAGTGCGTATATTGTACTCTGGTATTCGTAGCTATCGTTCAATTTAACAGCTTTATCGTCACACCTGCTAAGGTATCCGTAATGCTGAAGCTGACTCCCGGTGGTACTTGTGGCAAGATAGTTGGGCATAGAGCCAATGCGGCTACATGTGTTACGTATCTTGTGAATTTCCACATTTCGTGTATTGGTTTGTCTTTAGATCAGTTTAAACTACTGCGTGAAATTCAGCATAAATTTGTGCAAAATATTGTGCAAGAAATGCTAAACCACTGTGCAGTCACTAACAGCCGAGAAACCGCGCTAGCCTACAAGACCGGCGAAATGTTCCAAAGAGAGGAGCTCAGTGGGTTAATGCAAGAAAGCGATAACCAAGTCACCTCTATCTTCGAACTAGTCCCCCTACACACCGGCTGTAGACTCTTCAGAGTGACGTCCGCCTTTTGCTGGAGCCTCAGTTGGCTTGCCTGTGCAGTCACAAGGGCTGAGAAGTTGCAGGAGCATACAAGACGAGCGAAACGTTCCACAGGGAGGAGTTCCGTGGGTTCATCTAAGCAAGCGGAAATCCAGCCACCTCTACGATGGAACCAGCCCGCTAGCACACCGACTGCATGCTCTCCAGACGATGTCCACGCGTCGCTGGAAACTCAGCTCGCCTGTCTATGCTGAGTCCTACGAACACTAACATACCGGTGTGCGAAAGCGAAGGAGTTGAAGGTCAACGGAGAAGGCAGCGAATCAAAAAAGAGAAGAAAACTGTCAGCAATCAGCGGCGTTGTAACCTTATGATATTTCACGCGCCTGAGTCGACAGATGCTAGTTCTCAGGTTCGTTATGACCACGACATGGATATTCTGCAGAGCTTGATTGATAGGCTACTCGATGTGAATGAACAGGGGTTGCAGGTGAAGCAAACCACCCGTCTTGGAAGTAGAGAGGAGGGGAAGTCCCGGACTCTGCGAGTCACGTTTATTGATGTAACGAGTCAGAGGATAATGCTATCCCGCCTCGGTAGGATAAGAGGTATGAAGATCCATATTGGTCCTGATTTGGATCCGTCGGACAGAGAGAAACTGAAGTCCGCTATCATGGAGTTGAAGCGGCTAACTGATTGTGGAGAAACTAATCGCCACATTGAAAATTTTCGGCTAGTTCACTGGGTCCGCTGAACCAAGATCAAAAGGTCGATAACGCTTTATGCGCGCTCGTCGGTTCCTATCAGGGCCTGTGTGTAGCCTACACAAATGTTTGTAGTTTAATGAACAAACATGACGATGTATTTTACTTCGTTGCCTCTTGTCGTTCGGGTGCACTAGGACTGGCCGAAACTTGCTTAAATCCTGAGGTCGGTACCCAGGAAGTGCAGATCAGTGGCTAGTCGTGCTTCAGGTGCGACAGACTATCAAACGATCGAGGCGGCGTGCTGTCATACATTCGGTCCTCGCCGTGCAGCAGACTGGTACACACCTGACGCAGAGAAGATAGCGTGTGCGAACAGTTGTGGTGCTCGATCCGCCTGGGACAGGGTGAACTGTTTGTGGATGCGGCTTAACGCAGCCTACGAAGTCGATGCCGGGATTGGTTGCCGCATGTTAGGAACTAGATCAGTCTGCTTATGGGTGATTTTAACCTCGCTCGAATACGGTGCCCTGAAGTTCAACTTCTCCCGGAGCACGATGAAATCGAGGCGCAGTTTGCGGAGATGGTATTTGTAACAGAAGCAGCACAACATGTCTGCCAACCGACGCGGGTTACACTGCATTCCGCTCCATCGTGCCTGGACCTACTACTAACGAGTTGCGAGCAACCTGTACATGAAATTCAGGTCCTGGAGCCTCTGGCAGCTAGTGACCACTCGATAGTGTAAGCCAGCCTAGAGCTGCCGCTGCCTTACTCGTGTCCGCCGGAGCCATCATACAATTATTGGAAGATCGACTTCGAAGGTCTCAATCGAGCCGCCAGTGAAGTGGACTGGTCGCTGCCGCATGATTCATCTGTTGAAGCCTGTTGGTCTGTTATAAAAGAGGGTGTGCAGTCGTTTCGTACCCCTCAAGTATCGGAAAGCTGGACCAGTGAAGGCACATTGATTCGACAGAACATTGCCAAGTGGCTCGACGATGACGAGTATTGTGGAATAAATTCCTCGTGGCTGGCTCTGTCGACGTTCATGAGACGTATAAAAGGCAGCGGAATCTATACAACAGCGCAAAAGCGTCGGCAGTCCGAGAAGGAGCATGCAAGTTCAGCGAAGACGGCCGGCAAGGTTTTGCGTAGGTGAAGCGGCGCCTGAAGCCCGCAAGTGACGTAGCTGTGTTAGAGAGCACAGACAAACAGCCTCTGACCTCCAGCACTGATCGCTTGTCCGCATTGGCTGACCACTTCACTTCCGTAATTACAATTGAGCATGCGCCTATGCCCAGTTCGATGTGTGCATCATTATCAACCACAGCAGTATATCAGCCATTTGAACTAATGCTTCGCTGCCATACAACCAGGATGACCAATGGTATAAAGAATAATAAGAGGGAGAGAACGGGGATTTACCTGAAGACCTTAATGCCCTAAGCAAGCACTCAGAGTCAAGGTGCCTTCACCTTGTGACAGCAACATAACGTCACAAACAGCTGGCTGTCGTACAAAGATAAGGCGGCATCAAGGTGACAGCTCCCTTGCGACTTTCACTGCCCCACGTCATAATCAGCCATTACCCCGCAGATAACTCAGCACCAAGCACACATGAAACAGGCAGTCCGACTAGCAGACGGCAGCAGAGGCGCCACTGGTGTTGGTTGCGAGGCATGTCCTGTAAAGTCTCGAGCCAAGCACAAGGCAAGTCGCGTGAACTCTAGCCCGCAAGGCGAGAAGGACCAACGGCACCCAGTTTGGTCGTCAGTCACTTCATTTCCCGCTGCCAAGTCAACTCCTGTCCACCTCGGGCTCTACGCCATCCCACATCCGGCAGACTAAACAAGGACCTCCTAATTAAGCGGTGACCAGGCATACGTAGCACGGGCCCAAGCCAACGCAACTTATTCAGTGCTATCTGTTGTTCTAAGGAGCATGCATGATTATCAATACCTAGTACTCGCTTACCCACATCATCGTTGCGTACAGGCTCGGGCCATCCGACACTAGCAATGCTTCGCAGACAACGATGATCAAAGATTTGAAGACGCTTCAGATTTTTAGACCGTAGGTGCCAAGTATCACTCCCATAGAGCAGGACGGCCCTCACTGTGGCCATGTAGACACGGCCATTTAGACGGAGAGAAACTGCGTTCTGTATCCACATATGCCGTAACGTTCAAGAAGGCAGTTCTGGGTTTTGCAATGCGTGAACTTACTTCAGTTATTATTCGCCCATCGTTGCTGATGCAGCTGCTAAGGTAAGTGAATCGATCAAATAGCTCAAGTTCCTCGTTATCAAGGGTTATGGGAACATCAAGTGGCTGGTAGTCCTGTAGCAACACTTAGCACTTGGAAGGCGCGAAGCACATACCAAACAAAAAGACCATTGTAGACAGGCTATTCAGAGATGATTGTGCCGCCGCAACATTGCAGAAAGGAAGGATTCTCTGTGTTTGGAAACGCACGGGACTGCAGATTCGTTTATTCGGGGCTACACGATGAGCTCGAGTTGTACGCGTGTGCTCGTTTCGCGCACTTTACTGGGTCGAAAGAACGCGCGCATTACATACGAGGTCCGAGAAAGACGAAGACGCTATCCAGTGCTGCTTCGGATGGTGATGACTATCTGACTGGGATCAGGCAAGGTAAATTCTATTCAAATTTGTGTACTCTTCGCTTCTTGAACCGTCCCAGACAGGTGATGCTACGGGATCGTGTATGGCACGCAAGAAGGACAGATAATCTGACTGTATTGTTCTCGTGAGGTCCGATACGCGTAGAGTGCAGACATCTATGGACAAACACTAAAATAGAGCATCCTACTATGCGGTGCGTGACTGCACCCTCAAAATGGAGGGCATTCGAAACTAGTTGAAATACTGACAGCTCGGGAGACTTGTTCGGTTGTTGTGATGTCTGCCGGGCTAACCAACTTGAGTGCATACGTTTCATCACTAGCTAAGGCGACATCATCAGTCCAGGAGTGATGACGAGTTAGTGGGAGGCAGACATAAAGACAGATATCGCCAGCCACTAATACATTCCTTATTTAGGCGTA